ACCTAGAGTCACTTTACTACCGACCACATACCCAGTCTTTTTGTCTTACTAAGTTGCTTAGGGCCTCACTAAATTGCTGAGACTGGTCTCAAACTTGTGATCCTCCTGCCTCAGCCTCCCAGGTGGCTAGGATTACAGACCTGTGCCACCGCATCTGGCCTGATTGTGTATTTAAAGGAACTGAAATTAATGCATTAAAAAGACTCCACATTCCCAAGTTCATTACAACATTATTCACAAGAGCCAAGATATGGAAACTACCTAAGTGTCCATCAGTAGCTGAAAAGACAAAGAAAATAGGGAAATATCTATCTATCTATGTATTTATCTAATCTACCTACTATACAGAGCTTAACATATAAGAAGATTCTGTCATTTGTGATAAAATAAATGTAACTGGAGGACAGTATGCCAAATAAAATAAGCCAGGAACAGACAAATTTTGTATGATTTCACTACACTTGGAATATAAAAATGATGAGCTCAGAAAAAGGTAGGCTACCAGAGGCTAGGGATGTGGGGAAGAAATGGAGAAATGTAATATTGTTGAACAAAGGGTACAAAGTTTCATTTAGATTAGATGAATAACTTTTAGCAATGTATTGTGCTGCATGGTAATAAATAATGTATTGTAAATTTTGAAATTGTTAAATAGGTTTTTCATATTCTCACTACAAAAAATGATAAGTTGTTGAGGTGACAAATATATTATTTAGCTTGAAGTTTTATTTAATATGTACATAGATCAAAACATCACATTGTACCCCATAAATATACACAATTATAATTTGTTCATTAAAACTTAATTGGAAAGGAGGAAGAAAGAAGGAAAGAAAGAAAGGGAGGGAGGGAGGGAAAAAGAAAGGGAGGGAGGAAGGAAAGGAACCTTAGGTATTTCACAGAATCTTCTGAAAATTGGAAGAACCAGTCTTGAAAGGCAGTGCCCAAATCAGATTGCAGAACTCTACCAGGGAAATGTCACTGCTTGTACACTGACTAATGTGGGACATAGACCCTGCCAACAGAACCTCTAATATTGTTTCCTGGGTGTCTGGATGCACCTGCCTCACTCTTGCTGGCCTGAGTATTGCCTGCTTTTTAATCTCTTTATCCTTCACAAAGTCCAGTACAAATGTATCTGATTACAAGCTTCTAACTGCAAGAAGATTGAGAAACATATTCAATATATTTCAAAATATACTGAGCTCTCTCCACCCTCTCTACATTGGCTTCTATTCAATGTAGTAGAGAAATATATTTATTTATATTTATAAACATATGTATAAATATATTTATATATGTGTGGATAGATGGATAGATTAAACTCTCAATTCCTATTGATCTGAACCCAGTATTCAGCAGATGGAAGTAATTCACAGTGACATGTGAATAAGTGATGGTTTTGATACCTCTTTAAGAATTAAGGAAGACAGGCAAGGGATGTGGCTCAAGCGGTATCGTGCTCGCCTGGCACGCGTGGGGCTCTGGGTTTGATTCTCAGCACCACATAAAAATAAAATAAAGATGTTATGTCCAC